TCAAGCAGTTTTACATAAAAGTGCTTTAGTTTCTTAGGTTGTAATCCTGCAAATACTTATTCACTTGCTTAAGTTAATTGTCTTGTCACAAACCAATTCTACAAGCCAAATACCCAGATAGGCATTGGAATTACAATTCATCCACAAATTCAATTCTCTCACTGATAACCTCCTCAATCAAGATAATGGATGGCTGGGACATTATCAATCTAACATTCAATGAAGGTGCCAACATTGTGTAGATTCTTGCATTAGTACCCTTCCTGTCTAATTGCTATCCTATGATCCTTATCTGCTTCTTTTACTATCCAGTTTTTAGGTGCTTATAGGTTACTAGTTTTGCCTACTTGTTTTCCCTTTGGTATTTTCATACCCTTTGCTAATTGTTTCCCAGCCCCTTCCTTTTTTTCCTTCCCCTCTCCCCCCCTTCTCCCCTATTTATTTTGGGTCTGCACATCCTAAACTCAAAACTCCGGTCTTCTGAAGAAGTGAGCTGTGTCCACGAAAGCTCATGATACCTTCTTCATGTTTTGTTAGTCTATAAAGAGCTACCAGACCATTTGTTGCTTTTTAAGTTTAACTAACATGAGTAGTGTTCTAAAATCAGTGGTATACTCACAGTAGTGAAGTTAAACAATTATCCACTTGCCTAAGGGATTTGAATTTCACTTGATATCAAAGCTACAAAACAACTGAAAATATTTTTGTTAAATGACTATATTTAGAAACTAATTTTTATAGTTCAATAATGGATAAATCAGTTTAACAAATGTGGGGGATATACATTATGCAAACCTTATTATCATGGTATTTCTTTTTGTCATCTGACATTTGCTTTTTTCTGTGCAGTGCCTTATTAAAATCACTGAGAACGTATTTTAAACAACTTTTTTTTATTTACCATTTTTCTTGTATTTGGATATATTTTTAAGGCTACTGATAGATCTTTATATTGATAGCAGCTGTTGCTTTTAATCATGAACTGTGGAAATCAGTTTGTGGAAACTCTGAAGAAAGTTCGTTATCCAAAAGTTGATGAGCTTAATGGAGAAGACTTTGACTGGTTGTTTGAAACTGTGGAAGATAAATCATTTTTGGAGTGGTTTTGTGGAAATGTGAATGAGCACCATATATTAACTGAAAAAGAACTGCAAGCTTTTGATGCTCTTCTTAAATCTGGCAAGCCCATTTTAGAAGAGGCAGCTTTGGATGAAGTTCTTACAACCTGCAAGACCTTGGATTCAAAATCCAGTAGCATGGAAGAAGGAGAAGTCCAGAAGCTAGAGGAGGAGTTTCAGGCTCTTCAGAAAATTAAAAACCTAAAAATTCATCGTCGTAATAAGCTGCAAATGATAGCCTCAATAAACAGCCATATGTCACTGAAATTAAATGATAAAGCAGAAGAAGCAGTTAAAATTCTGAAAGAGGGACAAGGAATTTTCACTGCTATAAATACTAAGATAAATAATGAACTTCACTCTCTTACTGATGGAATTAAGAAGCTGACCTTTTTTTTCACCTCTGACTCAGAGCAAGGCTTAGGTCCTCACCCAGTATTTTTATCCCAGCTTGCCTTGGATAAATATTTGTGTCAGGAAGAGCAAAGCACTGCAGCACTTACTTCATACACAAAAAAACAGTTTTTTCAAGGTATAGCTGAATTGATTGAAAGCTCAAATGAAGAAAATTTTCAACTTGTAGATATAAGCAAACCATTAGTTTGTGATGAGAATAATGAAGTCTGTAAAGAGAGAGTAGAGATGGCTAGGCTACAAATGGCATATATTTGTGCTCAGCATGAACTGATTCAACTCAAAGCTAAAGATCGAAGCATAAACTCAGCATTACAATGGGCAGAGACTAATCTTCAATCCTTGAAGAACAAGGTAAGCTCTTAATATGTAATTTTCTTTCTAGTGAAAGTTTAAAAGACAGACCTATTGCTCTGGATTTAACAAAAGAATAATTGATAATTATTAAATTTTTAACTTAAATTGTATCCTTTTAGTGATGATAAAATTTAATACTTACAATGAAATAGCTCCAGAATCTGGTGCATTTAGTGAAATATAACTTCTTAGGTATCAAATGTTGTTAGCATTATTTCTCCTAGTTTTCTAAAAAAGTAATTCTAGAAATATTTTTTAAATAGCCCGTTTGTCCTTTGATTATGTCCTGTATAGATCTAATGAAATCAGCTATCTAAATCAATGTAGAACCTACAGCATGTATATAATATTAATACAACAAGGAAAGGATGAAGTTGAGTTTAAAATGTTTTGTTGTATATAAGGTAAAAATTAAAATAGTAAATATTTTCCTGCCTTGTTTCTTGATTTAGCATAACTTTTTAATACCCATATACCTTTTGCATGAAGAACTTTACAGAATACTGATTTGAATCTGGTAGAAATGTGAATGGGTAACTGGTTTACCTATTACCCAGTAAGCATCACCCTTAATGTGTGATCATGGGCGTCCAATAGCATAAGTGGGGGAAGGCTTTGCCTTCCCAAACTTCCTGGTATGGCTGGAGTTCTGGAGATGGAGTGTTGCTGCCCCCAGCACCCGCCCTCCCCGGTACTCCAGTCTGTGGACACGTGCCACACGCCTTTCCCATGCTTCAGAGAGGCTCGGGCTGGGCAACCTCCACCCTCCTCAGTGCTCTGGAGAGGCTGAGGCACACGTCCTCTTCCCACTCCCTGTGGTGGTGGGGGTGCACACATGCTCTGTGCACTGCCCTGCTTCTTCCCCTCTCCTCCCTCCCTCCCCCAACCCTAGCTGCACCCCCACCCATGCATGTGATTTCCACTGCAAGTGGAAGTGCAAGAACACTGCAAGTGGTGGCTCCTCCAGCAGCCTCGCACGGGTGTGTGTGGACATGAAGCAGTGTGGGTGGGAGGAGAAGGCTGCTGGTTCCGTGCCCCTGCCTCCCCCTCCATCCCTGATGCCGCCACTTCTTAAACATGACTAAAAAACTTCGTAGTCCTAGAATATATCGTTACAAATACTTTGTTTTGCTTTTTGTAGAATTTTGGAAAAGAAGAACACCTTGAGGCTAGAATTTCCAGTTTAAACAGTGAAATTTCAAAAATAAAAAATCAGCTAACTCAAATAAATAATGAAATATTACCTTCTTTGGTGAAGGAGAATGCACAGCTATTGAACATGCCTGTGGTGAAAGGAGATTTTGATTTGCAGATTGCTAGACAAGATTACTATACATCAAGACAAGATACAGTATGTAATCAGTTGCTAAAACAGAAAGCATCATTTGAACTTCTTCAGCTAGCTTATGAAATTGAGTTGAGGAAACATCGGGATATCCATCGTCAACTAGAAAACATAATACAAGATCTGAAACAGAGCAGTAATTCCCTTCAACAGAGACTGGAGATGATGTCTGAACCATTTATATCTCAACATGCAGTGCCAAAGAACACTGTTGATTCAAGGGATAATGCCTCTCATAGGTAAATATTGTACAGTGGTTGTGAGACTTTGATTTATTTGAAGTATTATGTAGGAACTGATAAGTTGCCTACCATATGCCATTATAATTTTTTTGCAGTCTCTTAATGAGAAGCTCTAATTAGCTGCAGCAGGCCTTTGAACTCTACTGGGGACAAAGCCCTGGGGCTAGAGACTTGCTTTTACTTGTCCTATGAAACTCTGTTTAGGTCTGGCTGAAATAGTTAACTGTTCAAATTGCCATTTCCCTGCTTTCCATGATGTTGTTCAGGAAAACATCAGTACTATGCTAGAATAACTGAGTGTGACTGTTATAATATCAGGCTCAGCTGTAGGTGGGGCAACAGAACACACTGAACTTGAGCATACCTAGTATTGGCTAGAGCAGTGTAAAGAGGGAGAGTACTAGGCTGGGATGAATTGCCCTCTGGATCAAGTATGATACCCTATCAGTGCAATCACATCCTTTTAGGGTGCCATCTAGGTCAGGATCTTCCCACCTCAAGGAGGTACAGAGCTGGGTTTGGCTCTCCCCAACTAATCCCAGGCTCAACATAGCCCCAGTGGTCACTGCTCCTGTCAAGATTGTTCAATAATACTCTGGCACTTTGTGTACAGAAGATGAGGGCATGTAAAAGACTTTAAAATTCCTTGCTGCTAAAGGCTTCTGTTTAAAACGTCCCCAAGGTCACAATTTCCCTGGCCTTGGATTGGTATTGCTGCCAGCACCCAAATGCAAAAATCCCCTTGAAAGGCCAAGAAGGTGCGTTTTAGGAATTCCTTTCTGTGGGTTACCCTCAAGCTTTTTAACCATCCCTCTGGGGAGAGGTTGAAAAATTCTAATTTCCCTTAGTAGAATGGCATGCAGCCTTAGGCATGTGCACAGAGAACGTCCTGCCTTCTAGGACACAGAAATCAGTTCATGGTCTTAAAAGGGTGATTTTTATTAACAAAACAAAGAACATGCACTTGTTCAAACATAACTTGGTTGCTATGTGTCACAGCTGAAGAAAAAAAAAGATTAAAACACAGTATTGCTTCCCTAGGGTTCAGTTTGGAAACTTATAGTCTGAGGGGGTAGTTAGATGTGCTCAGCACAGAGAATTCCAACAAGTCCAAAATAAAGAGGATAACCTGATCACATCTGACTAAACATTCCCTTTTTCTCATATCTGTAGTTCCAAGTTTTAGTTTTTTTCCTAGCCATGGCTGTTGCTGCATTCTCCATGCCTGTTTTCCTGGCTTACTGCACGTTTCCCAGTTCTGCTCCCATCACACAAGAACAGGAAGGTCAATGCTTCCAGTTCAAAAGCTCACCCTCTAGTTCCATTGGCTCTCCTGGCCTCATGCCCACTCATTTCCTGCTTCTCTAGCATTCCTGGGACCTCTCTAGGAACCCACTATCTATGGTTTAACCCTTACAGGCAAGGGCAATTAAGGCTAGGTCCTAAGAGTTAATTCCTGAGAGAGATATTAGCTAACTGAATGACTGCAGTGTCCAGAAAAAGGTGTTACCCCTCCCATCCTCACAGTCCCACTCTGGAGTAAGAAGATTCTCCTGTCTTTAGCTAATGTAGCTATCTAGTCCTGTAGCTCAAGTGGTAAGAATGTGGTGGAGTGTTGTAAGGTCAGGACTCATACTCTGCCGATAAGACTTATTGAGGGCTTTTGTTCCAATTGTCTGTTTATAGACTTATTTTTACTTTTTTTCTTTAAAAAAACCTGTTTACATACCAAAACAATTACATTAACTGAAATATGTTGGTTATAGTGAATCTTTCTGAAGAGAAGCAAAGTTGGATTTATAGTTCCCTGTGCAACTTTAATTCTGCTTTCTTGGTAATACTACGCGTGTATTCACAATTTGAGTTTCATGATATTTGGGTTTTACTTAAAGCCATGACTTTTTAAATAAGAGTATTACATAAACATTTCAGATTTTATTTAAAAAAACCACCACCAAAAACAACAACAAAAGTCATGGTTGTGCAGAAAAGTTTGAAAACCAGAATAAAGTGCACTCTAAATGTTCAAAAAGGTACATGAAAAGAACATTTTTTGGCTTAAAAATAATGAGTCTTATAAGTAAGTCTATCTTATGATTTTGGGGGACCTGATTCATGAGTATTGACTGTTTGGAGATGGAGTGAGTACAATACAGTAGAAAATTGATTCTCAACCTGTGACTGATGGGCTGCTCATGGCCCAGTCAGCACATATGTCCTAATTGCCATACAGATAGTATTGGATGTGGTCCACAGTAGGGATGTAAATGAGTAGTCTAGTATATGATTAACCAGTAATCCTAAACTTATTAGTTAATCATCTTGACTACTCGCATTTCCCCCACCATCCCCTTGCTGCCTCTGTATCAGCCCAACAGCCACCAGTCCAAACGTAGTCTGATTTACAGAGATACTAAGTAGGGATGTAAACCATGTATAAAAATATACAACAGATTGAATTTTAATAGGTTAACCGCAGGGCTGCCAGCTGCTCCAGCCCAGCCGGGCGTCCGGCATACTGCGGATGGCCAGTTAACTAGTTAAACATATAGTTTAACTGGTTAACATTTTAAACGGGATTTTACATCCCTAACATAGAATAGTAAAAGTGTACCAATTCAGATACATCATGTCTAGTAAAGCAGTGATTCCCAACCTTTTTTATGCTGCAGACTGGCAAACTACTTCACAAACTTTTGGTGGACCAGTACATTTTATTTGCATGTTCATTGCGCACCCAGGAGTAGAGAGAGGGAGGGAGCACAGAGCTCTGGCCAGGCTGCTATCTTACCTCGGAGAGGGTTGGAAGGACGGAGCATGCTGTTTTTTCTTGTGCATTTCAAAGATTAAAATGCCACGTGGACCCCGGGGAAAGCAGGGAATTTCAATCTTTGAAATGCATAAGAACTCTTGCTGGGGCTCTTGTAAATTTCAAAGGTGGAATACTGCGCTAGTCCTTATTGGCAATTGAATAATCTGTGGAAATCGCATCAACTGTTCAATTCGTTAATTTAAATTTAACATCCCTAAGCTGAGTATCTAGCTTTCTACCATTTACAAGAAGGAACATATTACAAATTCACAAGTACTATATATTTATAAGGGGTACTTAAAAATTACTGCTATTAGAGAATTTTCTTAAAATTCACTCCTGTCTAAGGATGTCAAGTAGCATTACTAAGCTAATTGAGTAGTTGATGGCATTTCCATTGACTGCTCGATTAGTCAATAATAATTAGTTACCTCCCTGTGTTTTCCCCCGCCCCCATGGAGGTGGAGATGGTGCTGGGGAGAAATGGCTTTTTAGCCAGCTCCCCCCAATACCAGCTTCTGCTCCCCCGCCCACCTTGCTGCCTCTGATACAGTAGTAACCTAGGCTTATCGAGTAGTCGAGGGGTTCCATGGGCTTACCAGGTAGTTTACTACTTGACTAGTGGCTTACATCTCTAGTCCTGTCAGAATCAGTTTTACCATTTTTATACCAATAATTCTTAAGATTACTACAGGATGGAACTCCAGGATATGGCATCCTTGAGACCTGGCCAGTCCCAAACAAGGGAATTTGCTGGACCCGGGAGGTCCCCTGTCACCGGCCTCCCAGGCACCCGCTGACTTTGCTTCTGGCCCCAGCTGGCTCCCATTTCTGTCAGCCAGCTGTGCTGCTGGCCCTGGCTCGACCCCTCAGCCCTGGACTCCAAGCTGCGCCACCTGAGCCCCCTGCTGCAGGGTTCCCCCCCCTCACACACCGCGGGACTCTCTGCATCACCTGAGCCCCCTGTTGCACTCCTGGCTACACCCCCAGGGGATCATACAGAGCTGCTCCCTGTAGTGATGTGCTACTGATAGAACCCTAAGTTCTCCCGAAATAGCACATTGCTACAGTGAGCAGCTCTGTACAGACCACTGGAACTCCTCGCACCGCCTGAGCCCCCTGTGCCATGGGACTCCCTGCACTGCCTGAGCCCTTCCCATGGGACTCCTGGCTATGCTTCTAGAGCTCCCTGCACTGGTGGATCCCCTGCCATAGGGCTCCTTAAGCCACCAGAGTCCCCTGCCACAGGGCTCCCAGCCGCATCATGGGATTCCCTGTGCTGCCTGAGCCCTGTGGTGCTGTGCTTCCTGCATTGCCTGAACTCCCTGCCCACCACTGCCCTCCCTGCCCCTGGGCTCTCTGGTCCAGGAACATCCCTGGTCTTGCTGGACCAGAGAGTCCCAGTTTAGGGAGGTATAACCTGTATAACTGAATAGAGAGAAACTTTTCTGATTTTTTTCCCCCAGTTTATTTAATGTATTTGAAGTACAGATTGGACCTCCCTGGTCTGGCACTCTGGGGACCTGACCCATCCCGGACAAGGGAGATTGCTGCAAGAGGGGAAGTCGGGGGTGGGGGAAGTGGGCAGCATCCCAGCTGGCTCCTCTCCCCAGCCTTCTGGCTCCACGAGTTGCAACAACCCTACTGGAACTCCTGGTGGCTCCACCAGCTGGCTCTGCTCCAAGCCACTGGCAACCTCTGCTCCTGGGGCTCTCTAGTCCCATAACATCTGTGGTGCTTCTGGACCATGGATGTTGCTGGATCAGAGGGTCCTGGACTACAGAGGTTCAACTGTACTTGCAGTTACTTTCATAGTTTCCCTTCCATACAGTCAATCATTTTTCTTATTTGTGAAGACTTTTTTCTCAGGGAGATTTATTTTTCATATTTAGGAAAATGCTTGCTAAAGTACAAAAACTGTAATCCTCAAACTGCTTTTTACACTAATTGTTTTTAATTAACTAGATTTCAGGTTAACAGTGCTTTTAATTGCAGCTTGAAATGCTTTATACTGCTGTCAATCAAGGTTTAAACCAAAAAATTAGGGTGGGCTAGAAGTGACCAGCGGCAGCTCAGAAGTAAGAAAGATGTATCACTCTGACCTTGTTGGGCAGTACTTGCCTTTTCATCAGACTGACTTCCTAGAGATTTGTGCAAGTGATTAGTTAAGTCAGAGCTATTGATGGCATATGTATGTACTGAATTTTTTTTAAAGATGCATTTGCATCTCTAACTTTTGTCACTATAGGCTATACCAGCTTTTGGAAGGAGAGAATCAGAAACAACAATTGTTTAGAACACATGAAGGCATGGAACAACTATCTCAGAAACTAAAGCAAGACATTACTTCAGTGCAACATCAGCTATCAGTATCATGTCAAGAACAATCCCTTTTTTTGTCTAAGATGGATAGTGATTTAGATACCCTTTGTGATTCGCTGTATTGTGGAGGAAATCAGATTTTACTTAGTAACCAGGTAAGTTCTTACTGTAGAACATCATCTATTGCTGCTTTAGTAAACGTATTTTACAAAGGATTAGTTATACAGACAAAAAGATCTGACTATATAGTCAAATCAATTATTTTATCTATTTCACTAATTATTTCTTCCTTTAGTATTAAAGAAGCAAAGCACATTTTTTCCCAATATGTAACTGTCATAGTAGGTCAGTCTCATTAGCCGTGGCAATTTAACAACTGGTGCATATCTCTTTGTGTAGGTTATGTGTTTTTCCTCAGACTATATTATGCCATAAATTGCATCTATGAATTTTAATTGAAAAACTTAAGATGTATCTTTCCTGCTACCGTGGTATGGTTTGATGGAAATATATGGGCTTGAAATACAGTACTAAACTATCACTAAAACCTATAGCAATATTTTTTCCTGGCAGCAACTCTTTCTAAGAATGTCTTTGATTTGTGTTTGTGTTGTGCGTAGTGTAGTGTGGTCCTGGCCAATGGTGGGGATCCATGGTAGTACAAATAATAACACAAGTAGCTTAGACATTTGTATTGAGTGCTTATAATCAGATGAATAGCTTGCTTATGCTAAAAAGAGTAAGATAATTCAAGCTATTTTAAATCAATGAAAGATGGAAAAATACAGGTTCCAATAATCTGGTTTTACTTTAAATATAAGTATGAGGACTGTTTTGTAGAATTGTAACTACTTTTAATATGAGTAATTTTTTTTTTACTATTTTGATCTAATACCACACTGATGGATATGTGTGAAACCCTTGTTCACATTATGTACTACAGGTTGAACCTCTCTAGTATGGAACGCTCGGGACTTGACCGGTTCCGAATGAGAGTGATTTTCTGGATCACAGGAAGTCAATATTGTCTAGCAGCATTACCAACACTTTCACTGCTTACTGTGCTTCTTAGAGAACATTTAGGGGTAAATTAGAGCTAAATAACAGCACAGAACACTGAGAGTTAGGATTGGTGGCAGTAAACAAACTTTATGGGACTGCAGGACACTTGTCCAGAACCATGAAAAGTGGACATCCACTAAACTAAACTCATTCTGGACGACTGATGTTTCTGGACAAAAGAATTCTGGATTAGAGAGGTTCAGCCTGAAGCTGTGTCTGCTTGTAATCTCAGTTGACTAAGTCTATTTGTACACTACTCAGTGTGAATAAGGGTGTTACAGTGATGGTGGGCTGCCATGGGCTAACCCTGGTGAACCGCATCCATCCCGTAGGATGGTATTTGCCCACCGCTGCTGTATTTACCTGCATCTCCACAGGTACAGATGCTTGCAGATCCTGTTGGCTATAGATTGCCTTCTCAGCCAATGGTAGCTGCAGGCACCCATATCTGTGGAGGTGCTGGTAGATAAAACAGCGGCAGCCTACCAGGGGCTAACTATCGCGAACCACCTCTGTTTTATAGCTCACCCCTGTGTTAATCTGGCCCAGATGAGTTCTACAAATTAAATGAGATTAATTACCTTGTGCTTTTATCTTCTTTTCATTAGGCATTTCCTAAGTTTTGTGTAAACATGCCTCCAAAAGTGAAAATATTTTTTGTTTTAGTTGAATTAACGTATCAGCAATGCAAATATAATAATTTCTTTTTTTAAATTCTGTTTGTTAGGAACTAACAGAGCAACTTTACCAACTGGAAACTAATTTAAATAGACTAAACCAACTTATTATGGATCTTCTTGCTGATGTAAAGGCCAAGAGAAAGATTTTAGAGACAAATACGCTTTGTCAGATGGAAAGAAAATTGTATGTGTATTTTTTCAAAGATGAAGACTACTTGAAGGATATTGTGGAGAAACTAGAGCATCAGTCTCGGGCTCAAACCATTGATCTAGAGAATTAAACATTAAATGTATCTTTGTTCTGCTGCTAAGATACAGAAATATTTAGTGTAGACTGTTTTATGATTCAATGGAAAAACAAACTTTAGATAATAATATATTATTTTATCAAATATAGCACTTATCAGCCTCATCAAGAACAGACTGTAAGCTTCTTTAGAGCTTTTGACATCCAGAGACTGAGTTCATAGTTCAGCTTATGAGTGTTTGCTTTGCAAGAGAGAGAATGCATCAAGTATCTATCTCAGTTACTCAATGGTTACGATACTGCTAGACTACATATTGCCCTCTCTTACTTAGTGTGCAGAGTAAAATGAGGATTCCTGCCTCCATGGTATGCTTTTTCTTTGCCTTCATATGTTATGAAATCCTCTTCATATGTGCTCTACAAAGTTAGTGCAGAGGGGGAACCAAGGAACAGCTGCCGAATATAGGATGCTTCCTTCTGAAGTAGATGGTTTTCATAATGGGAAACTTTTAGAGTAACTTTCATCCTCTCAAAAGATTGCAAGGATAGAAGATGCAGTTGTGCAAAAGTGACAGCATGAATGGGTATAGACTAAGTGTCTGTGCATTAAGGATGTTAGAGCGGTTATTTGGCTAATCATGTAGATACAGATTGTATCGACTACATGATTAGTCAGTAAGGGGGCTGCTCTACTGAGATGCAATGGGGGTAGCTCCTGGAGCCAGCTCGAGCCGGGACTGAGTCTCGGCTTGGGCTGGCTCTGGACCGCGGCGGCTGTGCACTTTAAATGTAGTAAGAGCTGCTGGGCTTTTACTATATTTAAAATGCAGAGCCATAGCACAGGTAGCTCCCTCATGCTGGATCTGGGACTGCTTGGGGAAGCCTCTGATTGCGGCCAACCCAGGCCATTGCGAACAGGGATTGCTTGGCAGCAGCAGCCCTTGTCTGCAGGGGGCCCAGTTACCTGCTGGGACCCCCACGGACAGGGGCTGCTGCTGGAGCAGCCTCCCCTATCCTCCTACCCCCAATGCCTCTGATGCCCCACCACACCTCTCATACAGAGGCAGCAAGGCAGGGGAGAATCGAGTAGTCGAGTATTCCACTCAACTACCCAATAAGCTTATGAGTATTGAAAAGTCGACTACTCATTTACATCTCTACTTTGCATTTTGTCTACAAACTGTTCAAAGTCTCTGAGATTGCCTTTCTTTCCCGTTTGTGTTACTCTTCCAAAAATGTCCTAGACTCCTGAAGCAAGAGCAAGAATTTTGAACATGTCTTTTGTATCAGAATGTTCCAAGGATGTTTGTGTTCAGCAGATTTTCTGCTGTGATCTACTTCTTTTTTGGCTCATGCTAGCATTTATAGTAACACGTATCAGTTTCAGAATCTTTTAATAATTCTTCCAGACTTACCTAATATGTAGTAGAAAAAGATATTTGACTCAACAATATATATATATATGTATATATATTTTGTTGAGTCAAAAATCTTTTTATATGCCTGATTTGTCGAGCCCTTTATATCTATATATCAAACAATATAAGAAACTTCTTATAGAGCAAAGAGAATTAAATGTGATTCATACAGTTGTGCCTTTTTTTCTACTGTGTTCACTGGATCTAGATCCTGATGGGAGCAACAATTCTGTTTGCTTTCAGGGCATATACAGATTTCTTCTATAAATGTTGGTTGGATAAATATGAGCAAATTAAGCCTGACAATTTTTTAACAGCAAGTAACATTTTTAGTGTATAAATAACATTTTAAATTTGTTTTTAATGGCAGAATATTATTTGGTATTACTTTTAATGTTTAAATGTCTAAGAAATTAAATATTAAAATATTTGATATTTGAATGTTTGCACTCTGTCTTTTTGAACCCTATAAAACATTTAATCATGTTGGCCATCTATACTAATAAATCATATCAAGGGTAAAACATTACATATTAAAGGAATGTATCCTTTTACACCCTTTATAAAAAAAAGAAAAACCACAATGCGTGCATTCATTTAATATTAAGGATGAATTTTAAATCCACAAACATAAGAACATTTCTACATTACAACGGGATTGGTTGTGACAAGAGTAACTTTATATATTCTGATCCAGGGTATCTTGCATCTTTTTGCCTTCCAAATTCTAATCTAATCTAGATCTGCCACCTCAGGCAAGACTGATCCCTCCCACAAGAGGAAAAAGTCTGCATTTAAAAAAACCTCTTCCTCTAGTGGGAAGCTACAGACCTAAGGTACAATTTCTTGACCTTTTTTTCCCTACCCAAGGTAGGAAAAGAGGCTCGGTCGTGACTGTATTCTTGACCTCAGACACATTTTTCTAATCATGAGCTTAGATGAGCTAACAAGGGAGAAGATATTACATGGTTATAGACAGGGCTCGACAAATAATGTAATCTACTTGCCTGTGACGAGTAGATTACAACCCGGAAGGGCCGGTGCAAAGCGATCTGCACATGCGCAGAGTGCAGAACTGCGCGAAACCGCGCAGCTGGCGAGCAGGGCTCACCGCCACTTGGCGAGCCCTGGTTATAGAATTTGATTTGGAAATGTACTTGTGATGTGAAGGGAGCTAAGAGTGGCCAATGAACAGTTAAGACCTCTTAGGACTGTAGTGTCCAATATGATAGCCACATGTGGATATTTGGCCAGTTGTGTGTGGCTAGTTGGCTTGAACAATGTGGTTAGTTGGCCTGTTGAGTGTGGCTAATTCTGAATTGGTTGGACACCACAGTCTTGGGGGAATATGCCATTTAACCACTACTGAACTGCCAGTTGTATCCACTAACACTGGGGTTTGAACCCCAGTTCAGAGTTTGACACCCTAGAAATACTGTAAAGCGTGCTGTATAAATATTTTTAGTATCAATCTTGTATATGTTTAAAAATGTTATATATACAGGAGACCCTTGCAATTCATGGAATTGCTGTTCACAATTTCACATATTTGTGGGTCTCTTCCATCCCCTGTCCCCTCATTGTACTCTATCCTTTCTTCTAGGAGCAGGGAGACATGTCTGGGGTGGGGCTTCTTGTGGGGTGGCAGCCGCGGTCAGAGCCTCTGCCCCACACTCACTGCAGCGGGCAGGGGCTGGGAGCAGCAGCCCCGCCCCAGGATTCACAGATTTCGCCATTTGCAGTGGTGTCAGGAATGCATCCACTGCAAATGGTGGGGATTTTATTATGTTATCTGAGTCTCCAGGTATAACTTACACCAAAACAATCTTCTCTACTGAATTATGAAGGATTTTGTTTCTGATGCTTCCCCATGGGCTATGTGATTTACATTCTGTAATTGTGTTGCATCCAGATATTAGAGAATGTGATGAAATACAGGTGAATTGAAAGATAAGATTCCAAACTCAGTAGTAATATATGTGAAGATTTTAACATCACTAAGAACTGAAAATAATTTTCTTGTTAAGAGCAGAGTTTAATATACTTTACATTTGTTCTTTTTTCTGGTGGCAGTTGATCACATCACCAACACTTAGGCTGTGTCTAGACTGGCAAGTTTTTCCGCAAATCAGCTGCTTTTGCGGAAAAACTTACCAGCTGTCTACACTGGCCGCTTGAATTTCCGCAAGAACACTGACTTCCTACTGTAAGAAATCAGTGCTTCTTGCGGAAATACTATGCTGCTCCCATTCGGGCAAAAGTCCTTTTGCGCAAAGCTTTTGCACAAGAGGGCCAGTGTAGACAGCAATGGCTAAAATGGCGATCGGGGCTTTTTTGCGCAAAAGCCCATCTAGATTGGCATGGACGCTTTTCCGCAAAAAGTGCTTTTGCGGAAAAGCATCTGTGCCAATCTAGACGCTCTTTTCCACAAATGCTTTTAACGGAAAACTTTTTTCTGTGAAAAGCATTTGTGGAAAATCATGCCAGTCTAGACTTAGCCTTGGTGTTTATATTTAGTGATCTTTATTTTAGGAAAAATGATGAACTTTGTGGCCTGGTTTATATTAGACCATGTGGGTTGGCTTAAGGTATGCTATCGAGCTATGCAAAATGTGTAGCTAAATTCAGCTTATCTTAAGAGTCACCGTGGTGTCTACACTTTGGGAGGCCCACAGGAGTGCACACACTCCCATTGGTTTCCCTTACTCCACATAAAATGAGCAATACCTGACACAGGTGATGGCTGCCCTCAGCATTTGATTTGGGAGCACTAGACCTGCTAAACTGAAGGCTGGAGGATCGATCTTCTCTGTAGTGTAGACATGCCATTTGTTAGATAATCAGCTCTTTGTCTTTTAATGATGTTTCAACCTTCTGAGTGTTTTTTGCTTTTAGGCTTAACACTTAAATACTGTTTTTATAGGGGGTTTATGCTTTACTGTAAGGACAGAAAGTAATGAATATATGCATGCATTAATTTTAGATCTTCACTAGAAAATAATGGGGCTGTGTCTACACTGCATTCCTTTTCCGGAAAAGGGATGCAGATTAGACCAGTCGGAATTGCAAATGCCGCGGGGGATTTAAATATCCCCCGCAGCATTTGCATTTACATGGCTGCTGCTTTTTTCCGGCTCGGGGTTTTGCCAGAGAAAAGCGCCAGTCTAGACGTGATTTTCCGGAAAATAAACCCTTTTCCGGAGGATCCCTTATTCCGGCAAAACCCCGAGCCGGAAAAAAGCGGCAGCCATGTAAATGCAAATGCTGCGGGGGATATTTAAATCCCCCGCGGCATTTGCAATTCCAACTGGTCTAATCTGCATCCCTTTTCTGGAAAAGGGGTGCAGTGTAGACACAGCCTGGGAGATTTTTCAAAGACATGTGACGTTGATTTAGTGCTCGTCACCGATTCTTAAAGGCATTGTGCATCACTGAATACATCTTTTACAGGCTTTCACTTCCTCTTATTGAAAATCTGTTGGTAACGTGTTTCAATCTGTTTCAGTGCTAGCTTCTCTTAAACTATTGGCAGATGCCAATATTCGTAAGAAACCATTTGACAAACCAATGTTCATACATGGTGATAGGGGAAAAATCAATTTGAATATTGATATTAAAGCCTCTAGGTCAGGTGTTTTCCACTTATTAACCATTTTGGACCATATATTAGGGATGTAAATAAAGTGTAAAATCAGTAATTGAGTAACATTAAAATTCTATTGTTTACATGGTTATATGTTTAACTGGGGAGCTAGGAATGTGGTGGTGTGGCACACCCCATAATTTTCCCTGGGTTCCACACTGCTGGTGCCACACCCAAGGCTCCCCGCTGCCAGCCTGGTTGCCAGCCGCAAGCCTATGTTTTGTTGCCTGTGCCTGGGATCCCAGTAGCCAAGAACCCAGGTGCACTTGGGATATACAACTCAAGTGCACTTGGGATATACACAGGTACACTTGGGCAGACTGCATATACAGCTCTCTGTGTTATATGGGCTGCATCCAGGCAATATACATATGTCACATGGGTGGCTACTGTGTGCTGATTGGGCTGCAAGCAGGCCACGGCTTGAGCCACTGCTTTAGGTATAGGGTGATATACTGTATACATTATACATTTAGGGCTGCCAGGTGTCCAGTATTCACCTGGACAGTCGGTATTTTCAACTGTCTGTTAAAAAAAATTCAGAGAATACTGGACACCTAAGATGTCCGGTATTTTCTGAATTTTTCCCCGGCCAGGAGGCCACCCTACAAACACTCAGAGCCTCCCCTCCGCCCCAAGTCGCC